GGTGTAGCGTTCGTTTCTTGTGAACGTGCTAGACTATTTTACTCGACATTTGAGCATGCGCGATTCGACCGCAGCTCAGCAGACTTTGGGGTTTGCAGATTGCAGGGCTTTTGGGTTTAGGAGTTTTGTGCTTGCGGTTCAGGGTTTTCAGGGTCCAGGTTTTGGGGTCCAGCGTGTTGGCGAGTCCACCGTTCGCAATGCATAACCTGAATCGGTTTTTCTAGTACGCGAACCCGTGCTTTCAGTGTGCAAGGTGGTTCTTGTCCGCACACCACACATGATGAGACAAGAGTGTTGCAAGTTAGTGCGTTTCCTGAGCTGAAGATTTGCGGACGAGATCCTTGAGTGCGGCCTTGATACAAAACGAGGGGCCACAACAGGCTGTGGCTGAAAGAAAACTTGAACAAACATGCAAGGCTGCCCACAAGCTTAAACAAGATGCCGTCTGATGTGGCAGAGCTGTTGTAGCACTGACGGCGTCCCGATAGTGCGACGTGGGTCTACTGGTTTGCGAAATTCGTGCTTCTGTACTTGTGCAGCTTGTTAACACACTCCCAGCAACATCTTGCCCTTTCTGCAGGAGAATGACGGCGTGCAGTCGGCTCTCCGGACGAGCATGGAGCATCGGGGCAATGTGGCTTATCTTCCTGATTGAAGTTTAGGGTTTAGGGCTTTTGGGGTTCAGGGTTGAGGATGAGGCTTTGCCTGGAGCGATGCTACATACTTTCTGCCAGAACTACTGTGCCCACAAGCACCGGTGATCCGAGTGTCTCGCAAGCACCTTCACGGGGTTCTGCTAGTTCCAAATCTCTGATATACCCTCCATAGTGTTCCGTCACATGTTTCCGGACGCAGCACCACCCACCTCCGAAATGAGTTCTTGAAGTCCATTACGCGATGGCTTTACACTGCTGCGTTGGTGAAGTGCGGTCCTCATCAGCTGCAGAATTGCACTGGCAAGTAGTCGCATGCTTGCCTCAAACAACTCATCTGAGGACCTCACCATGGAGCTGGCCTGGCAACTGGGTTGTCAGGCTCCGCAAGCCTCTGACGTTGTGTTGGCTTGGCTTGTCCGCTACAAGTCAAGTCTTTGTCAAGCTCGTCAGCTGCAGGATTTGGGCTGCTGTCCACTGGATCCTGACACTGCCGAGCTGCTGGCTGCACAGGCCGATGAGCTTGCAGGGGTTCAGGCTGTTCAGCCAGGCGCAGGTTCATCTCGCAAGAGAGGCGTGCCAGCATTCCGAGGCGACGAGCATCCATGCCCGAGAGAAGTATGGAGAAGCAGCCAGGCTGGAATCTCTGGCAAAGCGCGTGCTGGACACTTGTGCTTTCCCGCGGCACAGGGCGAGACGGCATGAGGAGGTTGGACAACTCAAGCAAGAAGGTCTGGCAGTTGCTCGGTTGCTAAGCCTCGCAGCCGGTCTTGTAAAAGCACCGCAGGTGCGGCTGTTTTCCTTCACCTTCATGTTTCGAACCTCAGCCACCAAGGAACATGTCTTGAAGGACCCTGACACGCGACAGCGCTTGGAAACTTTGATGAAGATGCAGGCGCTGTGCGTTCGTTTTGCGAACAGAGTTCTTGTGACGGCTTCTGATTTACACTCAATGGCTTCTCCTTCATGCTGTTGAGTTTCGTCATCGGATTGCAGCAGTGCTGCCTTCTAAGCTGACTTGCAGTTGATACCTGCCATGCCCGACACACACGTTTGATGTCTGTGAATGATGTTTAGGGCTCGAAGAGTATGTTTCCCCAATGCAGCTAGCACTTGTCCTCATTTCCATCTACACGCACTTTCTCACATGCTGATTACAAGTTTTATGATTTCTGTCCGGCTGTAACTTTTTAATCTTTTTATGAATGAAGGTCTCCTTAGTGTTGGGGCCATCTGTAGCCTTGGAAAGTTGAGCAGTGGTTCTAGTTGATCCCAGCCAGCCTGCATTTTTCAGCCTGTGTCCTCTGGACCAAGTCGCCACGTAAATCAGTGTGAGTTGTTCGGACAGCACATTCCTGCGGCATGATAAATCATATATTCCCTTTCAGAAACATTGCAGCAGCCGGTCCGGCGATTCAGTTGGTCTGGATCGTGGTTCGATTATCTGTAGGTATTGACATCACTGTTATGTCACTTATGTCATTTTCGGTAGCTGTTTCCTAGTTTTTGATGTTGTTGTAGAATCGCAGGTCTGGTTTGTGAATGTCTGAGACACGGGCGATTTCTGATTGCAGACGCTTTGGTGCCAGGCCGGACACGCACGGAAACAGCTGAAAAGGGATAAGAGCGGGAAGCAGCTGAAGGACACGGTGAGTTGAAGCTCCTGGACTTCATGAAGATATTTCTCTGCGGATCCATGCGTAGACCCAACCCCAACTAAATCTCCAGCCAGCATGTGCAAGATGCAAACGTCACATCATTGCAATCCGACATGCCCTCCATTAGGAGTCATTTGCAGTTGATGCTTACAAGCAGCAGTTAAGAGTATATTTTTGTTGCCCGTAGCTCACCAAAAGGCTTTGCGAGCTGATGGCTTACTAGGCAGTCTGTTCCAGTCCACGCTTGCCATAGCTGCGAAGATTGTCAAGGGGACTCTGTCTTGACGTCGTCCAGCCGGATGTCTCGCAATGTCGGAGCAGAACTTACCCAAGCTGTCGTCGTGTGAAAGGAGCCTGCCGAAGTTGATTCTGCACCGGCCCATGCCCAGGACCGTCAAGCCAAGCGTTGCAAGCAAGCAGTTTCCCCTCAGATGTGTGACATTGTGTGACAAAAATGCAGCAGGTGCCTCTCACAGATGAAGATTGTTCATGGAACTTTCGCAAAGCTCGATGCGAGCCCAAGTACGCCTGTGCCACTTGGCAATCTGTTGGTCATTCTCAAGAACACGGGTTCAATTTGTTGATCACTCACCGGAGATGGATTCCCCCTCTCAGCTGCCAAGGCGTACAAGTACCGTTTTGGAGACTTGAAGATCAAACAGAGTTGCCGATTGACAGTCAAGAAGTTCCGACCAACGCGCTCCCTGGTTGCCTACATGATGTCGGCAGCATTGGAGCATCTCATACTGTTTTGCTTAGTTGCCTGAGGCAATGAGGATTGCCTTTGGGATTACGCTGAGGCGAGCTTGCAGGGCCTTGCCGGTGTGCAGCATGTCATTGAGCTGGACAGGTCAGATGCAAGAATCCCTTATACTGCTCACGTCAGTGCAAACTGTCGAGTGGCGACCTGAACTTGGACATGTTCCTTGCCCTGCACAGTCTTTGGACGCTTCCTCTATATTAGTATATTGATGAGTTTCTGCGCCACTTGCGAGAGGTGCTGCAAGCTGCGCAAGAGAGCCTTAGACGAGGCGGCCATTGACAACCAGCTGCTCAGCTGCGCTGGCTTTTGTGCAGCCGAGAACAGAGAGGCCAAGAGGAAGTGTGTGTCATAGTCGGAGCCCTCCTCTGACTCCTCTTGCCTTCGTGTTCTGTCTCTGTGCTGATCGCTGAAGACCGGGATTGTCGATGCCGGGAGGGCTTTCGGGTTTGAAGGTCTTGTTACAGAGGCGCGGTTTCCCACTCGATGGCAGTTGGGATGGGCTTTCTTCCGTTCCTCTCGTCGGCATTTTTGTCGCGTTGCTTGATGCTGTTTGTAGTCGCTGGCAGTGTCTTTACCAGTAGCAGCTCTGGCATGACTTGGCAGTTTCACCTGGCGTGCTGTTCATAAATCGGTACTAACTGGAGATTCAAAGTCGAAAGCTGGTTGCGGGAGCTGTGAAGGCAGCAACGTTCAAACGCGGTTCATAATCGGCAAGCATTGCTGTGTTATGTTCGAGTTAGAGGTGGTTTCCGACTGTCGATAGCAGAATCTGGCGGCAGAACTTGACGGGGGTCATGTTCAAGACTCCGGCCACACGCTTAGTTAGGTGTGTTCCACCTTGTCGAAGGTCCTCCGTGCCTGAATTGGAGAATGAGCTTCTGACCACATTGTGTCAAACGTGGAAACAGGGACCTCTACTCATGGTAGCAAGTTGAAGTCCCGACCTGAATGCAAGAGGTCATCACCGAATGGGTGCATGACACCATTGAAATCGCTCATCTCGCGACTGTAAGGATTGACCCTGCTTCGACGCCCTTCACAACGACGAGTATTTTCGGAAGTACTGCCGCGATCACCCGCGAGGAAGACGAGGATGTCGATGACGATATAGGAGGGGCGACATGAGTGTGTCAGACTTTCCGGTATCCCAAGATATCCTAGCTTGCTTTGTCTGAGGGAAGGGCAGCCTTGCGCAGCAGGCTTCACCAACGCCCTTTCAACCAGATGCGATGTGGATTGATGGATAGACGGGCGTAGCTGTCGAAAGAGAGCGGGCTACCTTATTGATATCGTTTTCTGCAGCTCGAAGAGATTGATCAGCCCAGGGCATTGGTGTTTTGTCGTATCTTGTTTCAGTCACATGAGGATGCCTTTCTTGTGTTCCATAGGCAAGAGACAAGAGACCTGCAGCAATTTCAGCCTGCTTGGAGGGCTGATGGCGGATGTGGAAGATGAAGGCTGGATTTGTGCTGGGTTCGGCATGGGAAATGTGAGTTTGCTTTGCTGTGGCTTGTTTTCATGTCCGTAAATCGCGACCCCTCTTCAGATGACTACGATGCGTTCTTGAACGATGTTGTCAACAGCATTTATGAAGACAAGGAGATCGGCCGTTTGGTTGCAGTAAAAGAGCAGTCTGCAGAGCCTGAAGCGACCGTGGCGAAGTGCGAGTAAGAATGCACCGGATCTTGCCGGCCGAGGGCTCGAAGCCGATCCTGAATCGGCCACGAAGGGGGATCAAAAAAGTGTCCCGGCACATCTTCTGCTCACAATCATGGTAATTGTCGCCTGCGCTATGCACAGGTGCTTCAGTGTGCTTTGTTCCTACTTCTAACCCCTTATGCGAGGGGTTGCAAACGGCTTTAGGCGACGACATCGGTCTTGAAGCCGACACCATCGAGCCCGATTCGGACGATCCCGTTTCGGACGATGGCAACGCAGGAGAGAAGGCCAGGCTGGATCCCCTTCCGAGCCAGGGGTGCTTTCTTTACACTCGCTTACGAACAGGATGGCGAAGCCGAGGGCCTCTGCACGGGCCAGTCGGATCGAACTGCCCTCAGAGGATCGAAAGTCCCTGAGCTGCTTGCCGCTGGGGCCGCAGTCGGTCTTCGTGCGCCAGAACGGCTTCTTTCCGAAGCTGAAAGTCCAATTCGTGCGCTGGACATTGGATTGATAGGTCGTGTCGCTGCGCTTACACAGTCTTGAGTTCGTCTGAATAAGGAAAAGATCGGAAGACAGAGCTGGAGCACATTCAAATTCAAAATCGTCAGGGAGACTTCTTTGAAGCTGCACAAAGAGAAACTGGGCTTGTCGGAGCTTTGCCAGGGCCTAAGTTGGAGGCCTTCTTCTCAACGGTGGTGCCTTCACGAAGTACTTTCGGATTGGAGATCGTTGGTTGACTTGAGAAGTTGAGGAATATTGAGGGGTTCATTGAGAGCTTAGAGCACGGCGGTCCCAGAAGCTCTTAAGTCACCCAGGTGCCACGTGCTTCGTCGACGTGTCGGATTGCAGCACGAAGCAGTGCTTCTCCTTGCTTGCGACGAAAGGCTACTGCCTGAGCTGCAGTTAAAGCGTGACGCAGCTATCAGTACCGTCTTGTGACTGGCGCAGCCAGCTGCTCTTGACCTATATTTCCCAGGAAAGGAGCACCCCGAATCTAAGGCTTGTATCGAGGCCTGGAACGCATCTGTGAAATTATGCGTGCAGATGCACCCGGCAACCAGGAGCACTGCACACCGGCTCTTCTGCAATGCGCTGGCCTTCCAAAGGAAGAGCATCTTGCATGAACAGCTGTTGTTTGACGGCCCACAGAGTGTTGTGATTGTTGCTGCGCCAAAACAAGGTTGCCATAGCAAACGCGGCAGGCACTATGGCTATGCAGTCGTGCTGAAAAAGGTCCGGATCACTCCGTTTTCCCGAAGTGCGCAGGGGAAGCGAGGCTTGTCCGATCATGTGCCGATGGAACCGTCTCTTATGACTCCAGGGAACTGTTGCTTCTCTAGACTTTCTCGGTTTTACAGCAATTAACCAGCTCCTCCCTCTCTACATCAGCGTCTTTCGCAGCAATAGTACAAAAGTATACAAAAGTCATGATTAGGATCATCTAGTTATAGTCCGTTACCAGTGGCACGATCCAGCTCTGCAGCGGGATGTCGCCAGGGCTGCAGGCAGAGGACTTCGCGGCGTGGATTCGGGGGACAGGTGCAGAAGACAACATCACCAGTAAAGAACAGATGTCAATCCCCGCGCTGCTCCTGCGCGAGAACACTTTCCAGAAGATTAACTTGTCATGATCACAATGGGGTTTATAGCTGTGATGGTCACAGGAACAGGCTGTCCCCTGACGATGATTTAAGTGATCACTTAGATGATGATGAGCCACACCGCACTACTACCTGACGTACCCAGTAAGAGGGTTGACTGGCACTTTGTAACGGCCTGACAGGCGCCGCAATGAGTCTCGCACTCAACTCTGAGCATTCAGAGCATACAGGAGGATTCTCATGTTTCTGATGGCCACGATGATGTTGATGATGACGATGACGGTGATGCATACAAGTACGGTGGTGGCGGTTTGGCATTTTCAGTCCAGGCAAGAGCCAGACATGGTTCATTGAAACATCTTGCTTCACACCAGTGAAGGTCTATCGGACCCATGTACACTAGATCTTTGCATAGTGGTTCTTTCGGCTTAGTCATCCTAGTCTCATGGCCCGAGTTTTCAAGCTGCTGCATGGCGGAGGATTTTTTCGATGTTCCCGACGTTGTGGAGAATGTGGTAGTCGCCAGAAGAGACATACAACGCGTGCTTCTGCAATGGAAAGCTCCGCGAGACAACAACCGATGTATCATGCACCCTGCTTGCAAAAACACACATAAGCACACCATGGCTTTGGAGAGTCGCGCGCTCACCGCCTTCAGCAAGCAGCCAAGGCGCTACGCGGTCAGCGCCTGGCCATGGCAGCTGGGCGTAAAAGGCGGGGGAAAGTCGGGATCTGCACTCGTGCACCAGTTACTTCAAGTTAGTCCTTGCAGCGTCCAGGCAGAAGACAAAACCTAGTATCAGAGTATGTCAGTCTAAATGGTCAATTCTATATCCCAGAACTCCCAACAGGAACTGCGGACATGGACAGCGCGTGCCGGATCGAGCTGCTGGTCCGTGTAACTTGCTGGTCATGTTTCTGTTGCTTTGTAGCGAGGCTTTGCGAGTGGGTGAACGGAGCTAAGGTTAACTGCCGAGGAGGCAGCAGCCGGCCGGCATTTGTGCTATTGCAGTAAGCTGACAAAGATAGTGTGCAGTCCTACGTGCAGCTCTGGTAGCAATTCATATGCATGAGGCCTGTGGAGGGAGTGGTGGCGAGGATGCTAATTGCGCATACCTCCTTCAGTCCCTTCCTGGTATGCCGGGCACCCTGGAATGGCTGTTCAGTTGACGTCTACAGAGAACAGGAGTTATGATCACGGACGCTAACCGCACATGGCATTGATCGTTCGAAGAACGATGCCACGAATTTGTACACGGGCCCATGGGACATGCCGAGGCCAGCTGCCGAAGATCGGCCGCTGTTGGATTTCCAGCGCCTGCCAAGGGCATGCTGGGTATCCGTGTCTTCTGGCCTTTGAGGAAGACCAAGAAGCTAAAACAAGCGGATGAGAACTGGGTAGTGGGGGGCTTCAGCTCGGGAATCCGAGGCGAGCTGCCAATGAGGAAGGATGGGCTGAATGGTCACAGCCGAGCCTGGCATTTTTCCAGGACCAGGCACTATAACTGACGTTGCCAGCATGAGCACGGAGAGAGACAGAGAGCTAGGACCCAAGTTGTCATGACGCATACAAGCCGCAAGCTTCTATGACAAATCTGGCCGTTGCAGGTATTTGGAGAAGGTGGTGACTCTGTTGAAGAGGCCTGCACAGAATTCTGGATGCTCTGTTTCATCTTCCCAAGAATTTGGGTAGGCTGAGTCCGGCTGACACCTGCAACCTGTCACTCTGAGTTCTCCTCGCCTAAGACAAAGTAAATCGTCGAGTAGAAATGTGGAGACGTGGCAGCACGATAGTGCTCTGTGAGGCGAAGCAAGGGGCCCGGCTGCTGTCCTGGGGCGCCAGCGAGGACTTTGCGTTCTCCCGGAAATGATGCGCAGGTTGCGCCCGTTAACGATGCACGGCCCTTGAGGATGGACGCCTTGGCAGAGGCCTTGAAGCAATCAGCCGGGGTGTCTGTGCTGAGCCGGACGTCGATGCTCAGTTGCAGTTTAGACAGCAGTATAAAGGCACGCCTGAACGAACCACACGGCAAAAGAAGCATCCGCTTGATCCCTGGCGATTGTCACAGTTTCAGGTGCCTGGCTTCGATTCCTGCCGCCTGACCAGCTTGGCATCAGGACCCACTTTTGCTGAAGCCTGAGGTTGAACTAAGTTGCCTTTCGCCAGATGTGCAACTGCTCACAGATGCTTTGTCTAACAGTGCGGTGGTGGTTCCAGCATCCCGGAACAAAGCAAAGTTCAAATTCAGCGAGATTCAGTTCGATTTGGTTGCTTAAGCGGCTTCCGCATCGTCTGCACCCTTGGAAATGTGCCATGGGCTCTCATTGAGGAAGCAAACTGCAGGGTCACCGGTTGGAGCCTGGGTTAATGAACACATTCAGGGGCTTCTGCAAACAACAGCATCTGCAGCCAAAGGCCTTGTGACATCGCACCTAAAGTACCGTGCCCTGCAGACTGGCAGGAGCTCACTCAGCTGTGGCTTGGCAGCGTGTGAAACGCCTCTTGGGACGTCCGCCACTAATGCACGAAAGCAGGCATGAGCAAACATTACGATGCCATCCAAGGCCTACTTTAAGAAGGCTCATGATGGCAAGGCATTCGTAGCAAATTAGCAGAATGGAACGGGTGAGTCCATGAAGAGCTTGTCAAACGCATGAACTTCCTCACAACATTCCGTTTCGGAGTCCCACCACATGCGTTTGTTCTTTGCGGGGGAGCGCTTAGCGCACCATGATCTTCTTGGTGCGCTTTAGCAATACAGATCGTTTTGATTTGCAGCCTTCCAGCCGCATTGCATGTGGCAATTCTCTAGGCGCATTGTCTGTGATTCCTGGATAGCTTGAGTTCATCAGAGGCTGTGAGCTGCTCGGATCGTCTGTACGTCTGGGGCACCTTCCTGGCAGAAGAAAGCGCGGAGGAGTGTTCTGCTGCTGGAGAGGAGGAGGCGACAAACACCAAGTACTCTGTTCGGCTAGCTGGAGAGGTGTTCGTTCTTGCTTCTGATTGATGTCGTGAAGGTTGAATTGCTTGCCGAGCCAATGGTGCAACCAACCCCTTTTGCATCTGGGACAGCACGCCCTGGAAGAATGTGGCACTCGACCTGCTGTCACGAGCTTGAGGCCGTTCATGATGTCCGATGCGGACGTTTTGTGACGACAGTTCTTACAGCAGAAGGCTCCCTGTATGCTTGGGGCTACTGGGCCGCACTCAAATCCGAAAGTCTTTCCTGAGAACCCTTGCGACCGCGGCTTTGCATGTATCCAGACTGCGCTAGACGTGTCAATCAAGGTGCGAACGAAGGACATGGATGTGGTGTGCCGACGGATGCTCCTGTTGTCAAGGCCTTGACGCCGCTGAAGGCGCCAATCAGGGCTTCTCTTCGACCACGGTTTTCGTGGCAGCGGCAGTCTTGCTAGCAGCGCTGCAATGTAGGGGCGGTCTGCGAGCATGTCGGTGGGGCCAGTCACTTCAGTGTCCGTCGATTTCGCTTTCGTTGGGGGCTGGCCGAGACTCCGCGGATTTCCGCGAGCAGAAGGGACTTGGGAAGCCTCGTGCACTATATCGATACCGAGCGTGGCAGGGCGTGGCAGATGTTGAAGCAGCGCTTGTCCGCAGTGACGGCATTGCAAGCACTGCTCCGTCCGTGCAAGCACATCCTGTCCTTGTCCTTGGGCTTCCACATCTTTCTCGCCCGGCGCCGCTCCCCACGACTCGTCGTAATTGTCGGCAGCGGTGGCGAGTATCATGACGCTTGGAATCGTACCAGCCCCCGACCCAACATTGAAAGATCTGCTTCGCCACGCCAATACGATGTGAATGTTGAGCCTGTGACACCAACGCAGAGACCCTCAACAGGTTTCATTCGACATGTGGGATGGTCTGTTAAAGAAAGGCTTACGTTGCATGAGGCGATTTGCTGCATCAGTTTCGGAATCGCGATCTGAACTCTCGTCGCTTCTGGCCTTGCCGCGTGCATTGCCATCTTCTGAGACGTTGGCTCTGGAGGGAGGGATTACACTGCGAGTGGAGTTACTGTTATTCGGCATTTCGGTTGCGGAAGCAGGGCCGTATGCGTGCGGGTGAAGCTTGCAGTTGGGAAGCAGATGATGTTGACAATGTTGACCATGTGCAGCACTATCACGGCAAGCTGCGCTGTGATGCACTCGCTGCCGGTCGCCCACAACGGCCGTTTGGACAGCCCTGGTGCTGGCCTTGAGCACCACACGTTTGCACCTGGTAGCTCGCTTGTTACCAGGTGCCGGGCAAAGTTCCCGTGGTCCAGGTTGCGCTCGGCTCTTTGCCTGAGCATTTCGTTGCCATGTGCAAGCTTTTCGATCGAAGCCGTCTCTTTCGTGTACCCGAGTCTGCTGCAAAGGTGAGTTCCACGGACTTGCGCTGACCGCGGAAGGCCGGATGATGCTTCTCCACAGCTTCGCAGTAGTCTGCTCTGTCTGCCTGGTCTTGACTGTTGGCGACTATGTTGTGCGAGCATCACGAAACGGTTTTGCCGATGTGGCCCTCTGTTAGAGTCGCCAGGACGCCTGTTGGGTTGGGGCGAAGCGCAGGGGCCCGAAGTTGGAATGGCAGAGTCCTCAGCATCCAGAGTCATGTAGGAGAGCAGATTATGTTGGTGCCAGAGCTGCACCATCAGTTCAAGTGACTACATGAGTGCGGAATCATGTGCAAAGGCAAGTATGGCATTGGAAGACCCAAAGATCCGCCGTTGCTTGCCTGGAATGGTGCATCCGGCGGTCTGTAGGTACTCATGATTGAGAAGGGAGTCTTTGGCACGCTCTGGCAGGTCATTTGCCAGGCAGCATAAGCTTCAAGCAGCCGCAGCCTCGGCTGCTCGACATGCCGCCGGTGAAAGCCATTGCAGCAGGCAGCAGCCTGCCTGCAATCGGGACTGACTCAGAAGTCTTGTGTCTTGTCGATATCGTTTGCCTGGGATTTGCTCAGCCCGTGCGACCTGGACCACATCTGAGGTTACCATAGTGCAGCCATCACAGAAGATGGGATGCTGTGGACATGGGGAAGCTTCCCAGTTGCAGATATAGCCTCACTAGACTAGACTGACCTGTTTGCTAGGTAAAAAGATAGAAAATCAGGCTGTAGGGTTGTGGCCAAGCTCGGGTTTTTGTATTTGTTGACAGCCCGTGCCCAGCAACGAGGCAACAGCTACGGCCAGCTTGGTCTTGGTTGCTCACAAAAGGAACTGCCTGAGGTGATGGCCAGGGACTTGCCAGGAATGAACTTGAGTTAGCTATCCGAGGTTTTGCTAAGTGTGTAAGCTGCGACCGGCATGAAATATGCGTCGTTGTCCTCTCCAGTTTGTGCCACAACTTGACCGCACATCCGCTGTTGCAGGCGAACTCGCCGCGACCTGTGCATTTCTTTGGTCACGAAGGCCTGTTGGTGGATAGCACAGCGAAACCAATGTTTCTTCATGTTAATCTGCTCTGGCCTCAAGGTGTCTGTGTGCAGTCCTGTGCCACCCTTGTCGTCGGATTTCGAGCAAGTAAAGGAAGATCCGAACCCGGTCAGGCCGCGCATCCAAGGCCGCGAAAGTGTCACTGGGAGGAATTCATTCCGCCGTTGTCGACGAAGCCGGGGCCACACCCATCGCCATGTGACACGGATGGGCAACATGTGTCAAGGTTGAGCTGAGACACACTGCGCAGTCTGAAGTGCCCATCAGGAGGGCGCCCTCTTCACCTTCGGCGATAATCGGAGAGGCCCACTTCCTTTCAGCTAAGTCTTGGAAAGCGTAGCTGAGCCTGGCACAGGTCAATGCGGGCAAGGTTCATTAACCCTGCTTGACCAACCCACCGCGCTCCCCTTGCCGGGCCGTGCCTGGGCTCACTTAGAACACCGCAACGGCTTCTGTAGAGAAAACTCCTGTGCGCAACCCGTAACCCAGGCTGTGCCGGAGTTGGCTGCGGAGGCGAGCCTGCCAGGTTTGTCTGTGAGAAAAAACACACTTTTTCAAGTTCTTCCGAAAGTGCGTCAGTCTTTGCGCGGCTGCCAAACCAGCTTGTGCCTGAACGGAGGACGAAGGGCAGTGAACATCTCATCACTTGACTTCAAGTGGCGCGGGAGGTTTCTTTACGTTCTTCGAAGTGGAGTCTCAGAGTGGACCCTCGCTGATGGTCAGCGGCTGGGGCAAGGATCGTCGGCTAAAGCATGCGTTCCGCACGATTACAGCGGATGTAAGCCATGCTGGATGCCAGGAGGGTTGTCTTGGCTTTGGCATGCCCTGCAAACGGCTGTTGCAGCCCCGGGAACTGAAGCCACCACCAGGTGCAAAGCTGCAGTCTGTAGCATTCCATAGCCGCCGGAACCACAGTGATGTATTTCCACCCACCTGCTCCAGGCACCCGTTGGCTTTGCGTGCGTGCTGGCGTCGCTCACGTGACCGCGCTGGTGCGTTGATGCGTGAAAACCTGCGTATGCACGCGGCTTTCAGAGTTTCATGTGACCACGGAGCATCCTGTTTAGAAACGATGTAGGCGAATATCTCTGCAGCCTAAGTCATTGATTGTGTCTCGGAATGCTGCTTGTTGGATCGGTGGCCGTTGTCCCCGTAGCATGCGACTAGGACCTAGGATCATACTACACGGTGGTTGACTGGCCGCATGAACTGCAGTTCAGGCTCGAGTAAGCTCACTTAGCCAGAGTTCAGTCCTGTTCGCTTCAGGCCTATTCCATGTCCAGCAAGACTCTCGTTGCGAAAATGATTCAGTCGTCATTGTGCGAGTCAGGAAGTTGCCCCAGGCTAGCCTAGGAAGATCTAGGAAGGTTGGACCATGACAGGTATAGAGCATGAAGCGGCTTCTTGAATGCTCTGCTTGTCTTGCCGAGGATGGCACTCCATCTCTTCTTCGCCATTGTCGCGTTTCGTTGTGCAGAGGCCTCTCTTCGAGGAAACCTCCATGCGAACGTGGGATCCATGAGCTGCTTGTCCATTATGGCATGACAGGGCCACGAGGGATGGAACAGCTGCAAACCTGCTGGTAGTTGATGGACACGTGAGCAGGCAGTGGTGGTGATGAAAGCATAAGTCAGCAGAGTGTTGTCTAAACCTTTCCGCAAAAAGTCTCCGGAGAACATCTTTGTTATTGTTGCTGCAGCTGCTATTCGCGTGAACTTCCATGTAACATTAATCGTTCCGTTAACTCCAATCGCTCTCCAGCCTTCGTTGATATTTGGGTTCATTCGGTTTTGATGACGCTGCTGGCTACGAACTTGCTGCCGCCTGACACTTACAGTTCATTCTGCGGTACATTCGACTTCTTCTGTTGCCCGACTCGTCGCTTTCACTATGACTCCGCCAAGACTTAGAACGTAGCACACATCCTGCCATTCTATGCTTCTATGATCCTTCCAACATCGGGGTCACACAACATCACCCAGCATCGGTATCCTTGGCAGTGGGTTGCGAGAACATCTTTATGATTCAGGGTCACTATCGGAAGCCAGCGGTACGAAGCGTTGAAGATGTATTTTAAAGCTGTGAAATGTTGTCGTGTCTCGACGACAGCAGAACCGACAACAAATCTTGCGACAAGGATAAAGAAGCGGGTTTAGATATGTATCCTGTCCCGGTAAGGCACGGACCAGCTCCGTGAGACGGTATTGCAGGAGGCCTTGGCAATGCCACCTTTTTGTCGTGCTACGGATGCGTCGCTTCTGTTACTGTCAATTCGGCACTTGCTCATGCGGGCAGGTGATGACAGCCCTTGGCAGCCCGGAGCCACAGCATGCCACAGCATACCACAACTAGATGAAAGCCTCATCGCATTTGGATTTTGATCGCGACGTGAAGGTTCGCTGTGATTTGCAACGACTTTCGTGAGCCGCGAACTGTCTGTTAGGTGGCAACCGTGTCACCGAGAAGCGTCTCAAAGCCATCGAGGGAGCCTTGCAGCCCACCTTTCAGGTCAGACCTGTATTCGCAAGGTGTTCGCAGGGTTTCCACGATTTTTTTATGACGCGAGGCCATGCCCAAGAATGCCTACGGCAACCTGGAAGATGCTGCAGCGAGGCGACCCTTTCGGGTCTTTCCTCATGTACAGGGTTCTTGTCTGCCAGACCTGAACATTGGGAGGTATGTCTTGCACCGGCTCTTTGTCCAGCGCCATGCCATGTACATCAAGGTTCGTTGTGGATTGCACCATTCCCTTCTCAAGCTTGGTGGGATTTGAGTCCACAATGGTGACACTCAGAGTGCAGCTTAGGCTTATGTTGCTTTTCCGTGTGTTTGCCTGGCGCCACGAACAAGCCCGATCTGTCCGCATGGCATGAACATGCATGTCATCTCTCCTAAAGTGCGGAAACAAATTCACGAGGATTGAATGGATTGGCCTAGCCACTGTCTCAGACCATTGGCAGACCCGGCCTTGCAACGTGTGCTTCCGAACCAGTCGGTAGGGTGAATAGTAGTGGTCGATGGTACGCGTGCCGCCGCACGAGCAGTCATCTCCCGCTCGTGACATGTCAGGCTTCGACCCGACCCCCGACCCGTGTACATGTCTCGTGGACGCTCAGGAAGCACTTAAGAACTGCAACCATCCATTCTGCGACATTTGCCGCATAAAGGGAGAACGGAGAGGGCACAAGCGTATGTCTCATCGCGAGACATCTCTTCAGATCCACGAACCTCTTCTGCTCCCTATGTTCCTTTCTTCCAATGATCCAATCAGCAGCCTCTGCTTTATGTGCAGGGCCTCGAGGCCAACAGCATGAACTGGAAGAACATGAGCACCACGGAGGCCCCGCGCAGTCGTTGTGCAAGTTTAGGCGTTTCGGGTCTCTTTCACCTTCGAACGCCGGCATGCGAAGTCGGTTTAGTTTTCAGTGGAAAGTTCGAGAGTGGGCTTGACGGGCAACCCGGTGCAGGTGCTTGAAGAGCATGTGCCGTCCTTCGTCCTGTCGCTTTTCGAAGATCGATTGAAGGAGAGCATCTGCTGGGCGGGCGTCGTGAGGCATACGAAGGCACAGAATCAAGCATCGTGCCCTGTTTTTCAGGACCAAGGCCTGGGCCTTCACGAGCTGACGGTGTTGGCAGCCACTCTGGAGCACTTGATCCACGACGAGGCGCTTGATGCATCATGTGGAGTTTCGAGACTATGCCGTGCGGTGGAAACCCGAGGCGGTAAATCGACTTTCCGTTGTGTACGAGGTGGCAGGGGCTGGCAGCAGAAATTGACCTTAGATCTGTGGCCTTGTGGAACCGCGGTCTTCGCCACCACAAGGTGCACAACTTCTCGATGGCCGATCGAGTGCAGGAGGTGCGCCATGTCATTCAAGATGTCTCGTGCGCAGTGAATTCGCCTGTTCAATTTCAATGTCAATGAGCAGTCTCTCATGTCGTTTCTGGGAGCGCTTCCACAGAGGTGGTGCTGCAAGACTTGATTGACACGTACATGACTATTTTCCTCGTTGGGTCGCAGAACTTCACGGCGGCCACAGTCTCGAAAGAAGCTCAGCGGGCACTAAGAGCTCTCGCGGTAGTCTCAGTAGTCGTCATGAGCACTACAAGTAGCAGAAGTCACGCATGTCATGCTAGTGGCGGTGGTGGTAGTATATAATGGTGGTGGTCGTCGCCTAAAGTAGCAGTAGTATAGCAGCAGCAGCAGCAGCAGCAGCAGCAGCAGCAGCAGCAGCAGCAGCAGCAGCAGCAGCAGCAGCAGCAGCAGCAATCGTGGTAGTAGCAGTAGCGGCAGCAGCAGTGGTGTTGCTGAAGCTGGCGGTGGCCTTTGCAGTGGTGGTAGAAGTTGGAGTCGTAGCAGTAGTAGGAGGAGGAGATGGAGGAGGGGAGTCCTACTACTGCAATTTCTACTCTTCCTACCACTCTGCTGCTGCTGCTGCTGCTGCTGCCGAAACGACGACGACTCATTCGCAATACTACTGGTAAGCTTCTCGTGGCTGTCGTTTCTTATTCATCATCCACGCTCTAATTGCGCCTGATAGTCTTTATACCGTTGCCTCGGATCTTGCAGACCATTGAGGAGCGTGCCCTGATCGTCGACAGCTACCCCGGCTGGCACGAGACGCAAAAATTCACGTCACAAGTGCGCTCGAGTGTGGTCGCTTCAAAGGACGTGGCCGAACTCTGCTTGTGCCAATACTATGTTTCATGCCGGCGACGGGCTGCTGCTGTTTGCTGTTGCCTCGACTGCCCGCCGGTAGGATTTGGACACCGACTTCTCCCCCAACAACTTCTCCTTCCGTGCGGCAACGGAGATTGTCGAGGCAAGACCCACACATGCAAGATTGACTTGCAAACATCCAGGCTAGTGGAGCCAAGTATAGTGGATGGTAGCATGCAGCACTCTGCAGTACAGCTGACAGACATAGACGCTACATTCTTCAAGGAGATCGGCGAGCGCTATGGTCGATGGCAGGATTCGGAGTGTCGTGACTTGAAGAGCGGCTTTGCCTGCAAAGCGCGCAGGTCGACACATGAACGTCTCAGGCATGTGCATCATGCTGCTGTGACCGCAAGGTCTGCTTGTCAAGTATGAGCACGCCGGAACTGGACGCGTTCTATTGAAGGATGCCCTGTTGTGCCAAACAACAGATGTGTGGCAAGTCTGCGAGGGTCTGCTTTGAGAGGGGAGGGTGCTCTTCTGCGCACGCCCACACAGGACTTCTATGGTGCGGCGCTGGGTGGTCAGTGGCAGTTCTCGGAGACTTGGTTGTTGAAGATTGACACACATCCAGTACACCTGTCCATATCTGTCCATCAATCGAAGCCTTGAGGAGAGCATCGACTATTTGCGTGAGCTAGGAGCATTGGACGAGTGCCGGGCTGAAAACTTGCTCCCTCCAGTTAGTGAGGATGGTCTTTCGTTTCAGTGGTTGGAGTGCCATCTTTTCTTGAGTCTTGCTTCTTGTTGCATCATCCTGCCTTCTTGCTTCTGATCTTGCTCTAGTTGCCTCTACGCTTGGGTCTTGTTTGTGCTGTTGGCATGCCGGCTTTGGTTCTCGTGGAGGTACCAATGCGCGGAGAATCGAAGTATGCTTGCAGCAATCCACAGCAGGGCTTAGTGGAGAGCTTCGGTGGTAAGATGCCGACTGAGCGGCCCACTGTCAAAGCATTCTCATACGTGAAGCCCCTTCGCAGAGGAATCATTGAAGGCTGCATGAGCTCACGCCGGGATCTTCCGATTCCGTTCGGATCCGGGCGGGGTTGCCGAAGGAACATCAGCTCACAAAAGTTTCTGCAGTTTACCAAGCAGATGCCTGTCCACTGTCCATCGTAAAAGGCCCGACTTAGGAGTGCCGGCCGTATTTTTGATCCAAGCATCCGCTAATGAAGTGCCTCCCACTGGTAATGTTAAACTCCAAAACGGTCGTGAACATGGTCATTCCAATGAGAGCTTATTGTCACCATGCAGGGCCGTGCTTGCTGCTACCGAATGTATTGAGTTACTATGGTTGCTGCCAAGGTCAGATCCATCCAATCTGGCGGTGTTCATTCCAAACTATGTCAACTCTCACTCGAACTGCGTGGCATCATCCAGTATTTACTCGGTGTGCTGCATCAACGAGTGCGAGGTGCGGTTGGAAGAAGTCACCAGTCATGCTTGTCATTGTCTGATCTGACTCGGTGCTGTTGGGCTTGCAGGCGTTGCTGGGGCACCTTGAAGCCAAAGTGGCTGCACCGGAGGCTTGGCATGTGGCAAACTGAATGTGTCGATTGGATGCAAGCAGAGGCCGCGCCCGAGAAGATCTTGGACATCGTGGCCGCATTGCCCTCTGCTACCATCCGTGCTCCACGAGAGCGCCTCGGCATGCCACCAAATCCATATTGGGTAGTTCTCTGGATTAGGGTCCGCCTGTGAGTCCAAAAAAGAGCACGTGACTCGTATCATGAAGGAGCATAAAAGGACCCCACAAGGCAACAGCAATCACCACAATTGCAACCACAACTACCGGCAACAGGAATATCACTACAAGTGCTACAGCTGCTGCTACTACAAATGCTACTACAACTACATCATCATCATCATCATACTACTACTACTACTACTACTACTACTACTGCTACTAGCTCCTACTCCTATTCCTCCTCTGCTGCTACTATCTGCCACTGCTACTGCTACTGCTGCTGCTACTGCTACTGCCACTACTACCTAGTACCACTTTTACGACGAGCACGAGTGCTAGTGCAAGTGCTACTACGACTGTTTCTTCGACTTCGGTTTGACAATGACAACGAATACTCATACAGCTCGTACGTACATGTGCAGTTGTTTTCTCAATCGTATTTGTATGTATGTATGTATGTATGTATGTATGTATGTATGTATGTATGTATGCATGTGCTTTTATATTTTATATCTCTAAAGCCCCGTCAACTTCCACGGGAATTCGAGTGAGGCTCTCGCGTCCATTGGCAGATCGTCTGGGTGAGGATGGGCCTTGGTTTGCACACATCAAGAGCCCTGATCGAGAAAGGGTCGGGAACGGCTAGTCATGGGAGATCGGGCCATGAACCCGGTCAGTGGTCGTCTATGGTGGAACATAGTGTAGACGCATAGTCTGATAATAGTCCTCGGTCGTTCCTAGGTACGATGTTACCTTCCTCGTGCTACGATCGAATTGTGGTTCGAGTCTTGTGTTCACTTGTGGTAAAGATCGACTGCGCAGGTTGCCAGGGAACATAATGGTGCTGTCCCGCTGCTCCTCGGCAGCCTTGGCGAAGGCAGTGGTGTTTCCAAGTGAAAAATTTGCTTGGCATGCAGGCATGGGCGCCTCTTTGCACAGTGGTTGCTCTGTTCTTAACGACGTGGCATGTTGGTGGTTGCGCTCTAGAATCTAGAAGGGGACTCCTTCGAGGCACCACGCCTATCCGCGTGAGTACCGATCTCAGCGTGGTTGAGTCGCGCGTGTCCGATAAGAATCAGCTGGAAAGCAAACCCTGCCCAGGTGTCCGTACCCTCACGTCGCCGGCAAGATAAATCCCATGACTGCCGACGAGTGGATGCAGGCCTGCCGGCGCTTGGGCACAGGGAAAGGTGCGGACTCGTGTGTGGCTGCTGCATCTGCTGCCTTTTCTGTTCACTGTTGTCACTCCGTTTCTCTGCAAGGCCAGGGGCCAGTCCGTCTCGGCTACAAAGGACCGGATTTTCTCGAAATGGCTGCAGCGATTGCAGTGACGATTCTAGTGTTGGATGTTTGCAGGAGGACATGAAGCGCTACCTGGAGGTGCATCTCTCCATGTACCAGTCTCTCTTTGGCAGAGCTGGCCGTGCGTGCCGCATTGCTCTGCAGAAATCTCAAGACATTGGCCCTTTTCACGACAGATGCTGGCTTGTTTGAGAAGGCTGCGCCGTCCGCCACGCCAGCCGCAGAGCTTCCTTGGTCTTCCGAGGCATCGGCGCGTGTTGGCAAAGTGTCCGGTTGAGACCTTCTTTCCGGTTCAACACGCGTTGTACTGTGGCATTGCTTCGCTTGATTGCGCGGCATCTTGGAGGAAGAGCTTGTGGCCAAGCACAGCAAGCCAGCAGGCCAAGGGCTTGAAGGTTCTTTTTACAGATGGCGAGGAGCACCGAATTCTCGCTTTGTAGCGACCTGCATCCACTGCCCACCCAGCAGGTTTCGGCACGCTCTTGCGCAAGGCCCCGGGACAACAGACACCGAAAAGTACCTTCACATGATGCTGAAAGCAGCACAAAATTGCAGATTTGTGTGTCTGCCCGTGATGTGCCACAAGTGAAGCATGCTGTTGGACTGCCTCTGATGGCAAGAGTTTTTGCAGATGGCCAGGCCTTGTTCTTGTTTTTTGGCCTGGCCGCTGCGTACTCCTTTGGGCCGGGGGCTGGTTTTCCTCAGTCTCTGTCGTCCACGCTAGATAGGATGAAGAAACTCAGGAACCAGGCTTGGCAAGCAGGCTGCAAAGGAAAGTCGCCGCTGCTGCCGTACGCCTTCAGCTCAGAACGTGACAATGTATGGTCCTGGTGATGGTACAATATGTCCGTCTTCAGCCCTGTGTTTGAACTTATCATGGACAGCTTGATTCTCTCACTGACCGTAGACGCTTGCTGGCTTCGGTGGTTGTACTTAGGCGAACAAGCAGCATGCGTGCTGAGCCGCACCCACCGTCAGCGGGGCTGTCCGAACCGACTAACCTTCACAGCAAGGAGACATGCGATGCCTGCGCGATTTCCGAACTGGAACGACGGGCTAAGCTGGCTGTAGGTTGGGGTAGACCCTGTGCTCAGACATCCGCATCGAAAGAAACAGCTGCGCCTTGCCTCAGTTTCTAGCATGTAGCATGTGTACGACGAGTCAGCAGTCTTGTCGGGTTCAGGCGTTCTTGCTTGCTTGTTGATGACTGGTCTCTCTTCAGGGTATCCATCTTCAGATCAACCATCTCCCGACACTAATACGAGCTTCGTCCGGAGGTCAGGTCGGGCCATGTCTGTTCGTCAGACGGCGGGGCGGGCCCACGGCATCACTGGACGGGCGGCAGCAGTGGGAGCAAAAGAAAAGCCTGCAAGTAGCAACCGGGAGCAGCACACTTGGAGGAGTTTTTGGCAGAAAGGCAACCAAGAAGGCAAGGAGCCCTGGTGCCGAGCGGGTGAAGGAGCAGCAACGGGATGCGGCAAGATGCTGTTCGCACTCTCTCGTGAGCGTGAGGCGCTGCCCGCTGCTTTGAAAATTCGGAGCAGCAGTCTCCCGGATTGTCGAAGAGAATCACGTTGCAGTTCCTGAAAATATGGGGCTTGAAAGAGAGGCCGGAATCGCGCCCGGACCACCCACAGGCCATTCCGCATTTCTTACCGAAGCAGCCGAAGCCCCTGTCGTGACGGACCCACAACCCGCAACCCCAGCCACTGATTTGCATATGCATCCGGCAGGAAATTGTATGCAACGACCAGACATCCATGGCCGATGTTGTCCCTCCAGCGGACACGTTGCATGCAAGGTTCCATGCTGGTCGTCCTGCTGTGCTGGAGTCTGGGTGATTCATGGGGTAGGAGACCCATTCCATGGTCAAAGGATGTTCAATCAGGAGAATGTCAAAATGCACGAGCATGTTCGAGCTGACACGTTCTCAACCTCGGCCTTGCGCGCACCGAGACCTTTGGGCGCACAGGCAAAACGAACTCAAACCCAATGAGCTGTTGCAGGCACCAAACTCGACTCTAGACACGTCGATCTACGGCGAGGCTCCCTGCAAAACCAATATCGAAGTCTGGCAATGTTACTGTCAGGAGCGAACCGTTTCCGCTAGCTGCCGTGCGGCCTGCGATTTCACCCGCGGGAGGAGTTGCTGGAGGAAGCACACTACCACCAATCTGAGTTTGGGAGTTCTTTTATAATTAGAGTCCCCACAACCTGGGAGACGACTTCAGCATCATGTCACCCAAGAGAATCCAGGGGGAGTATCGTGATGTCAAGTGCACATGGTTTACGGATGTTTAGGGTGCCGGTTCACTCTCAACATGCACTCCTGCAATGCAGCGCGAAGCCTTGCAGCGCGGGGATACAAGGCTTTCGTTGGAGGGTGACTTTCGTGGCTTCGCCATGTTCAAAGCCCAGGGTGCCTGAGTGGGACTGATGTATCGGTGAGCTGGGGCTGGGGAGGCATCACCAGGAAACGCACAACAGATCGCCGCGCTTCACAAGTTTTGCTACTTGGAAGGTGGGTAGTTGGATGTGTGCCTCGGCCGATGTCACCCAAGGCATCCAACCTGCAGGGCAGAAATATGTACACATTTCGTCCAAACATAAGCCGAAGGTTGAACAAAGCGTTTATACTGCTATATTCAAAAACGGTCAGGGATTGTTCCGAAGCGATTGAGGGTAGCACGGGTGCTCCTGTCCTATGTGATGGCCCGAGTCCTTGATGGACATGAGAAACTCATGAGTATCAGTAGAATTTACCCCTGACCTTTTCTCCAAAGCACCGGACTTGAGAGTGGTTTGTTCGAAGTGTCTTTGCTTAAGTTTTTGTCATTTCTCACGATGTGAACATCCAATGCTTCGCCCTGGCACGCGGCTTGGTGCCCGGCTGTGCGCCGGCGAGCCGTCTGTGCCAAGGGGCAGGCCGAGCAAGGGAGATGAGGACAACCCGTCTTTGATGCTAGGGACTGACCGATTTGGTGGAAGGTACCTCTCAACGCCATCCGCGCCTGCGCCAGAGGTGGCCTCCTCCACCCCCACTGCAGTGCTGGATGAGCCAGCATCGATCTTTGAACGCATCTCGAAGCCACAGGCCACCATCTGCATATCTGGAGTACGGGCGGCTTTGTGCTTCAGCTTAAATGCTCAACTGCTTCGTAAAGGCCAAACCCCATCTGTCACAAGAGAGCTTGGACTTGTTCACAAAGCTGGCAAGCCCTGAAGATGTGCGGGTGCCTTAGTGTGCGCCGGAAGTGCCGTTCTTGCGCATATGTGACAGTTGCGCTTGCGGTCTTAGATTCTGCGCAGGCCTCCGATCATTATTCCCGTTCAGCATTCTCCGAAGTTCTGTGAGGCCTCTGCAGTTCCGGCAGGCCGCCAAGTCCGGGACCCGTGACAAAAGGACAGAGAATGTCGAGTTCGCGATGTTTCACATGTCGCGCTCCAGTTCTTGCAGAGCTTGGCAGGACTTGGGAGGCGCTTAGCCGAACAGCGGTTTATTCCCTGCGCCACTTCAAGGTGCAAGTTCTTTCGGAACTCGACGGGTCCAAAACCGTTGCTTCCCGAGTTGTAAGCGGTAGACGAGGCGTGCAGGCCAGGAGTTGCATAAGCCGACAGAGAAACGTGATGAAATGTGTCGACGTTGTTTGCGTGTTTCTGTTCTCGAGCAGTTCAATCCAGGGCCTGCTGCCTGAAGCGTGAGGCATGCATCTCAAGTAGACGTACGTATCGTAGCTTTTCGTGAACTGTGTCGGGGGGTGGGGGGCCTGCCAGGTCAGCCATGTGGCCGGAATTCTAGACAGCTGTGCGCAGGCAGGGCCGTCAGCAAGGACATTCGAAATCGTGCAAAACGAATTCCGGTCACGGCCGTGCTTTCTTGTAGGTGTCATGGCGAGACGACTACTTGCTGTGCGGTCTGACTGAGGTCAGTGCAAAGTCAGTTGAAAGGGTTCGATCTCGATTTCAACCCCTAAAGGCGACATGACGTGAGAGTTTCGAAGTCAGTTCCGGAAACATGCAAGGCCCTCCGCTGCGGTGCAGAGCTTCGGCGGGGTACCGTCAGGCACCTGCCTTGGCAGAGCTTTGACACTTTGACATACTTTGGCCTTCGCATTTTGCAATTTGGGCTGACCAGGGACTACTCTCTTTGTCTTCAATCCCTGCGCCGCCTGAACTACTGCCCCTGGGTTGGAGCCCTGAGGCATCCACCGGCATGTTCTGAGAACTGTAGTCGAGGCATGATGAGACAAGGGCTCGAATTGAATTCAGTCACGTGCATCATTTCTTTCATAAGTCTTTGGCCACTGGCACAATTTGCGGCAGGCCTGTGCTCGCCGAGCTTCGGTGGCGCTTGCGCCGTCATCACTGGAGACCCATTGTTGCTGACTGAGTCAGTTCGAGTTTGGGGTTCACAGCGGGGCTACCTTAAGCAACTGTGTTTGCAATGAGTGGCTCGGCGTACTCTGTAGACTGTAGACCTGCATTTGCCTTGCCGCAGAATCTGGCGAGCCATGCTGAAATGTCCCTGAGGATGTGGTCCTTGCTCTTCGATTTCTTGCGGAGTTCTCTGTCCAGCATCTGCCGCAGGTGAACTCCAACATTTGTGCGACTGACTGCGTGTTGTTTCTTCTTCAGGGCCGAATTATGCCAGATAAGTAGTGACAAACAGGTGCTGCCACTACACGATTTTGCTTGCCAGGTGCGTCTGGAGGCTGTGGCATTCTGCCGCGAGTATTTCCGCCACGAATTCTGAACGACTCTTTACTGCTTGCGCTGTTACTCTCTCTTCTTCCCTCTTCTGGGACTGTAGCCACCTGCCGGACATTCTTGTCGTCACCACAGCTTAGAGTATGCACGAAGTGAGAGTTGTCGGATGGACGATAAAGTACTGTTATATGCCAGGTTACAGATGAAGGCTGAGAAGAAGCTTGGCAACATGAGGCGTCGACTGCGCAAGTTGTTGTCTGTTCCACCATGTACCGGTAGTCCATGAGAAGTTTCCACATTGACGGCTTTGGCGCTGTGACATGCTGTGATCCTCATGTATCCTGACAATCGTTGTAATTCGCGCCAAAAGCCAGTGCAGTCCAGAAGGCTAGAGGCTGTTGTTGCAACACTTCTGCTTCAGAATCGGCTGCTGCATGGCAATGGGAATCTGACCTCAAACTGCACGTTGGCACTTGCCACTTCGGAGGCATCTGGAACTCGCGCACTTTGCACGTGCACTAGTGCAGCTCAACGACAAGGGGGGCTTGCCGGCCCTTTGACAGAATTACGAGTACCAGCGCGTGACGTGTGATGTAAAAGTTGAGATGGGCGATCTGCTGACCGCTGGAAAGGACACCCTTCTGCTGGAGCGCGTCGCGGACAACTTCTCGCGGCGGGCGTCGGACCTTCCGTTAGGCCAGGCTTTGCATGGCTTTGCAGCTCTCGACCCTCGGCGCCGAGTGACTGATCTTATGCTTTCCAGGTGCACTGCTGCATATGTCGAGCAGCCTGTCTACCCGCCCTGTAGCTTTGCGCATCGTTCCGCATCATTTGTCTTGGCCACCTCGGCAATTCTCGCTGCAAAATGCCTGCCAGGCTAGCGGCTCGCGCCGACGCTCCAACCGAATTTCGTCGTGTCCTGGTGGATAAGGCTCAGGCGCCGCACTGCGCACCTGATGGCTTCTGACAGTATGCAGAAGAGGACTTCAAATTTCAACAGTGCATACCGAAGGCGTGAAGGATGCACGAACTTCGTCAGACGAACGACCGCAGTCATATCACCTGGCCTGTGAGTTCACCTACAACATGGCATAGGAAATCGTATTAAAATTCTCCCAAGCACTGTTCTGCATTGCTAACGTAAGCAACAGACAATCAGCTCGTTGAGCACTTCTTTGAACCATGAACTCCATACAGCATCTGTCGGATGAGACTTGCCAGCGCGAAGCTCAGCACGGGGTCGTAGTGTGGTATGGCCAGTCATGGGCATGCAGTCATGCATGCACGCACACATGCATGCCGTACACAGGCATTCGCGTATGTGAGTTTTTCTGTTTCTATGTAGGTATGTACGTAAGTAGGTAGGTATAGTATTTGTCTAAGTGTGTGGGTGGGTGTCTGCAGATGTGTAGATTTGTACGTATGCCTCTATGCATGTATGTATGTATGTATGTACGTAGGTACATATGTGTATGTATGTGTGTGCGTATGCATGCATGGACGTATTTGCGCATTTATGTACGTGCGTGTGTACGTACGTACGTACGTATGTATGTATGTATGTATGTATGTATGTATGTATGTATGTATGTGTGTATGTGCATGTATACATGTATGCATGTATGCATGTATGCATGTATGCATGTATGCATGTATGCATGTATG